GCCAAACTCAAGGACATAGAAGGCCACATGTGGCCTCGAGGCTGCAGGCTCCTCACCCCTGTTCTAGATTGTCCATGTAAAAGGTAATAACTAGAACTGGACACAACACTCCTAATGTGGCATAGGAACTGTATACACTTCCATTAGCATGGCCCAGAATGTCCTGTTAGATCAGGGTTTCTTAACCTGAGGTCTAGAGAGTCTGTGTATACATATTAGGGCTCCATGAATTAGTTCTTTAAATATCTGGATAGTGGTATTTCAATAAAACAGATTTCATTTGGAATCTGCTATATTTTATTTTATTCATTAAAACTTCTTATTATTCCCCTGTAAGATGAGCTCCTTAAGGACAGGAATTGTCTTTTGCCTCTTTTTATATCCCCAGTGTTTAGCATAGTTCTTGGAACATAGTAGGTGCCTAATAAATGTTTGTTGACTGAATGACTATTATTCTGAGGAGTCTTTAAGATTCCCCAGAGGTCACAAGAATGGTTAAGAGCCCCTGGATTAAATGATTAGAGAACACCTTAAGGTTTGCTTGCAAAAGGCTTTAAGGCACATTATCACTTGTTTCTCAAAACAACTTGGTGAAGTAGTTATGGCAAATATGATTATTCCCCTTTGGTAGATGAGAAAAATGAGGCTTCAGGAGGTTAAGTGACTTGCCCATGGTCAAACAGTAATTGTTGGGTATGGGATCTGAAGCCAGGTCTCTGTCTCCAAGGCCAGAGCTTGATCTACACTGCCCTACCGAAGAAATATGGTACCAGAGATACACATGATTAAACCCCATCTCCTGTTCCTGCTCTCCTGAAGTACAGGGGCTGCCCAGGATCTATGGTAAAAACAAAATAAAACAAAAACCAACCTCTGAGCTCGAGTGTTTCAAAAGCAGAGTGATTTATATACCCAGGAGTCAATGCACTCTGCAATGAAAGACAGTTGTGGCTTCCTGCCGATAGCAAGCTTTAATTAAACAGTTCTCTTGCCCCAAGTGTTTCCAAGATGCTTTGCAATAATTAATTAACTATTGACTTGAGCAGACCCAACCTGTATAACAATGATTAGTGCTTAACTTTCTTTCAAGTTGTGTCATCAATTCTCAGAAATGTCCCTGAGAGAAAAGGTTGGTGTGGAATCTTTGCCACTGTCTTACAGGTGGGGAAAACTGAGGCACAAAATGGCCTCCAGTAAGGAGGTGGTACGTATGTAAATGGAACCCATTTGGTAGAGTGGATTGAATGCTAGATTTGGAATCAGGAAAACCTGGATTTGAATCCTGCCTCTGATACTAGCTGAATGACTCTGGGCAAGTCATTTAGGTTCTCTGGGCCTCAGTTTCTTTATCTGTAAAATAGGAGTCTTAGAGTAGATGACTTCTAAGATCCCTTCCAGTTCCAAATTTGTGATCCTTTGAGTCCATCTCTTCTGCCTCCTAATCCTCAGCTTGATCATTGCCTAACAAGCACAAACTGTGGTGTGGAAAGGGTGAGGGGGCGTGGTAAGGATATGGATGTATATTGAAGAGGAAGGCGAGGTTTGAATAAATCTACAACTAGAAATTATTTCACGTGAAGCAAAAATCATTTTTGGAGGGTGGGGAGGACAGAGAATCAGTGTAGCCCTTATCCCTTCAAGGGTTGGGAAAGAAAAGGAGCCTAGAAGAGGGGCTCTGCAGCGGTAGGATCCTTAGGGTCATAGCTGCATCAGCAAATTTGCTAGTTGAGGTTTGGCAATGATAGTTACTGAGGAAGAAGGCAAAGGAGCTCTTGGGAGAAAGGTGAACTATCCATCCCAAGTTAGTGGCTTGACCCCATGTTAATTATAGCTAGGATTATAGGCTTAGAGCTAGACAGGCTTTAGAGATCTAGTCCAATTTCCTCATTTTGTGCATGAAGAGACTTGGAGGATAGGCTGAAGGAATGGGTGAGAACATCAAAATGGGAAGACTCAGGAGGAACATGATAGTTTATTTTCGTGTATTGGAGGGCTGTCATCAGAAGGAAGGATTATAGTTATGATTCTATACCTGGAATGAACTGTGGAGCTAGAAGGCCATCTAGTGCAACATCCTCACTTTACAGATGAGGAAACTGAGGCCAGAGAGATCAAGTGATTTGCCCAGAGTCACATGGATAGTGAATTTCAGAGGCAGGCTTTGAAGCCAGCTCCTATAGGACTACAAAACCAATTCTCTTTCCATGGTACCATTCTGGATTAGATTTGTTTGGTCCAAGAGTGAAGGTCTGGGAGTCATGATGGGTGGAAATTGTAAGAAGGTAAATTTAAACTTGATGCAAGGGTTTGGGGGTGATTTAAGGGGCCAGGAGGGGGAACTTCCTAACAATTAGAGCTTTCTGAAAATGGAATGGGCCAGCTGTGGAAGACAGTGGGTTCCTTCTCATTGGAGATCTTCAAGCAGATGTTGAATGGCCACTTGTTATGTGGCTGGTAGTGGGGATTCTTTTTCCAGATATGGTTACCGAGGTACTTTCCAAATTCAAAATTCTGTGTACTGCTATCCCACATGTCCTCAGGGAAGTGAAAGATCCAGCGTCCAACTGGAGCTTGGGCAGAAAGTCTTGAAAACTCCTCAACGGAAGAATGTCTTTTGATCGGTCACCTCTCCCCCCACCTCCCAGGTCTACTGTTTTTCTGACCACCTCTCACCTGGGACTTGCTATGCCTCAGCAGTGAAGCGAGCAGACGGCTGGCTTCCCCTTGGACACCTGCATGCTCCTTGGCCTCACACCACTGCACTAGCCGATTCAGCAGAGCTGGCTCCTGCCCAAGGGTTTCAGCGGCTTCCACTGGCAAAGCAAAAACTATAAGTTGTAGGTGACTCAGGGCACCAAGGATGAACCTGCCAAAAGCCACCCCTGGGGATGTATCCCAGGTGTTTCCACATCCCAGACTACTGGTGTCCTTAAACTTGGCAGGCAGTTTCTACTCGTGTTATATTTCCCTGGGCCCAAAAGAGAGAGCCAGGAGTTAATACCGAAGCTGTGTGTTCCTGTCCGTTGCCTTCTTCTCATTCTGCCCATCTTCCTGCCCTACTTCCCTCTCACTCCCCTCACTTAACCCCTCTGCTCATCTGCCAGACTAATGAATTTACGCTAGATAATACAATTAACTAATTTAACAGGAACTTGTTAAGAGACATATGTTTGGGGGAAAATGTTAATGTTCCCCTGCCAAGCTAATTAAGGTCAATGGCTGCTCTGAGTAAGTGAAACATGAGGCAATTGAAGGTGGGAAGACTATTTGTTTCTTGCTAGGATTGGAGGAGTCCAACTTTGAGATAGATTTGAGTGGCACCTGACATCTCCACTAAGAAGTGGTTGGTTTTGATATTGTCTGGGAATGCTCCAATTGGCTATTTGAGGGTGATCTGGAGGCAGAGTATTATGCCTTCAGTTTACTATTCCCCTAGGAGGTTGGCTGTCCTTGAATACTGAAGGTATACCTAATCTCTTGCTGTAGCTATGTTAATACCACAAGCTTCTTAGGCTAAGTGACAGTTTTCATGTGTCTGGAGACCTGTGCTTCGTTAATGCTTTCATATCCCCATAAACCTTAACAAAAGAAGCTACATAGCAGCCTTCTGGATGTAGAAAATTCCCAGAAAGGATAAGCAACCCAGGCTTGGATACTTGACCCATTGGTTTTTGTTTGATGCTTCATGAGTCTTTTGGAATGGAGGGGAGCCGAGACCACGCTCTCCTTTCCTCCTTGTACTAGGTCAGGAGACAGTGGTGCTCAGCTGCTCGCTACCTTGGCCATCCATCAACATTCGAAGTGTTCCCAGGAGTTTAAACTGCACTGGAGGCATCTCAGACCTCAGTAACATCTGGATACGCTTGGCCACGCCTTCTTCCAGCATCTGTACTTTGTTGATCACTAGAAAAGAGAATGGAAGGGAGAGATTGCAACATACTTCCTTACTGCTTGTCTGTTTCCCTCAGAACTCTCTAATCTGGACGTTCTGATTCCTGTAGTTATCTATCAAGTTCCAAATAAGACACATTCTGACCATGATTCTGGGCAACTTGCTTCTCAGTGCCCCAGGGAGGTCTTAGATTATAAGGAGCTCTCCTCACTCATAGAATGACAGGTTAAAGAAAAAAAAGGTGCTAAGCTAGGCACTAGACTAGAAAAAAAAATCAGTCCCTGTCCTTAAAGAACTTATATTCCACAGGAGGAAGACAACATATGCACAGATGCATATATATGTATATATATATATATATATATATGTAATATATATACATATGTATATATACACATATATATACATATATATATACATATATATATACACATATATATATACATATATGTATATATATACATATATATATACATATATATACATATATATATACATATATATATATACACATATATATATACATATATATATATATATAATGTATGTATGTATACACACACACATACAGATCTATACACATTCCTATTTTGTTGTTGTTCAGTCATTTCAGTCACATCTGGCTCTTCATGACCCCATTTGGGGTTTTCTTGGCAAAGATACTGGAGTGGTTTGCCATTTCCTTCTCCAGCTAAATTTACAGATGAGGAAACTGAGGCAAACAGGGTTCAATGATTTGTCCAGGGTCATACAACTAGTAAGTATCTGGGGCTGGATTTAAACTCAGGTCTTCTTGACTCCAGGTCCATTCTCTATCCACTGTACCACCACCAGCCCTACATAGACATATACACGTATAAAAGCATTTTGGGATTGGGAGAGCACCAAAAGCTAGAAAGATCTAGAAAGGTCTCTTATAGTGGGGGGTAGCACTTCAGCCTTAAAAGAAACTTGGGTTTCCAAGAAGCTGTAATGAGAAGGGTAAGCATCCTGGGCATGCTTTCAGAGTGCTTTACATATACTAACTTATTTGATCCTCATAACAACCCTTTGAAGTAGAGGCTATTGTCGGCCCCATTTTACAGATGAGAAAACCGAGGCACACAGTGGCCTTGCCACACATCTAGTAAGTATTCGAGGGAAGATTTGAACTCGGGCCTTCCTGACGCCAAATCTTTCACCCTATTGTGTCACCCAGCTGCCAAGATACTCAGAATATTGGGATTGAAAGGAAACAAGCGTTCATCTGCCTAATTTTACAGATGAGAAAACTGAGACATCAACAGAGGTGTAGGGAGTTGGCCGCAGTCACACAGAAAGTCAGTGGCAGGGATGGGGAGCTGTGAAAGTGTTCTCTGAGTCTGTGCATGTGTATGTCCTCTCAGCACTGTGAATTATCTGAGCAAAAGGCCGATCTTCCAGCTCTCCCCACAACCCCTTAATGCTCAGTATAGGGCGAAGCACATGCAGTGAATGAGGCTGCTGGCTGCCTCTGGGGAGAGAGCTCTTTCTGGTCCCATTTTTAGAGCCCCCATTGTCTGAGGCCCAGGTGTTTCCTTCCTGGCTGCCCTGGTTTTGTCTTAGCCCCTGTTCTTTTCCTGGGGAATCGGCATTAAATAGAATTTCTCCCCCAGGGCTCCTAAGATCCCGTGGCTGACTAAGGAGCGGAGACCAACTACTAATGATTTTGTTTGCTATATTCTTTGGTCCTCGGGGACCACAGCTGGAACCTGGCTCCCTCCACTGCAGCCCAGAATCCCTAGGTGGCTGCCTTGGAACTGCTCCCTGGCCTTTTGATCAATTAAAAGCCCTTCTTGTGGGCCTCTGTCAGCCTCCAAATGTATCTAATTGATTTAATTTATTCTCAGCTCTACTCTCTTTCAGTGTTGAGCTTTTATATCTTCCCCTTTCAGAGTGGGGTGGGGGTGTGGGGAAGGCAGTGCAGATTCAAAGCCTAGTGCTAAATCTGGGGCTCAGCAGGGGCTCTCCTGCTGGCACTTTTCCTGGTTTTGAGGTGAAACCCAGAAAGGCACCCCAGTCTTGGAGGGAGTAGTGAAATAGCTTTCCTCTCCTTCCCTCCTTCCCTCTCTTCTAAGTGACTCAGAGCTGTTGTGTTGTTCTGCTTCTTTTTTGAAATTTCCAGGTCCTGTAATTAATTTGTGCACGTGTGTATGTGTGTGTGTGTGTGTGTGTGTGTTTCTGGGCATCCTGTGGAAATGGAGAGATTTCTGTTCCCCTCCATTCCTTTCCCTCTGCCCCTCTGCTGGCTGTTTTTCTGTGTCCTGCCTGTGAGTGTTGGGGTAGGGGTTGGAATGGGAGGGAGGAATGGGCAGAACACAGAAATCTTTCTCTCCTTCCAGGGCATCTCAGCTGTTTTCTGAACCCAGGATCCTCTCTGCCTACCCATGACCCTCTAGAAGCCTGTGTGTGGCTGTCTGCCAGGTACTCATTCAGAGCATCTGCCCAATATTATTATTGCCAGGCATTCTTCCCACCTGCACCTCCTACACTCACTCTTTTTGGTCCGTTGTGCACACCACTGCCATTTTATTTTCCCCTGTGCACACCTGATCATGTTTCTCCATGGCTCCAAGGCCTTCAAAGGCTTCCTACTGCCTGCTGAATGAAGTGCAAACTCCTGACATTCAGGATACTCAGTATTCTCTGCCAGCTGGTACCTCTCATGTACTCCTTGCTTGAGCACTTGCATCCTTGGGCACGCTCCTGACATTTTCCTGCCTCCTTACCTTTGCTCATGTTGTTTGCCCTGTTCCCACCCTCATGTCAGCCTCCTGAAATCCTAACTTTCATCAAAGTCCCAGTCGTTGCTTCCTCTGGGAAAACTTCCCTCATCTACCCATTCCTGCTTCAGAATGCATACCATTACTACGGAGATTCCTTTTGAATTATAGCTACATATGTCATATACCCCCTTTAAGATTGTACGTTTTGTGAGGGCAAGGACAATGTCTTCCCTAAAATTTGTATCTCCCCCAGTTCCTAGCCTAGTGCCTCTTATTACAGTAGGCAGATATTAAATGTTGGTTGGAATTTAAACTGTTGAAATTAGAGAGCTTTCAGTGGTAGGAGAGAGAGATCCATAAGAGCTCAGAACCTTTTTTCTGTAACTCAGGGCAAGGGACTCCAGCCAACAGAGGCAGGCAGCCCTGGACCACTAAGAGTCAGGAAGCCTGGGTTCTAGTGCTGGGCCCGCTCTGTACTGTGTAAGTCACAGTCTCTTTGGATGTAGCCTGTTTCTTTCTCATCTCTTAACAGAGACAATCACAGCTGTCCAAACCAGCCCACAGGCCTGCAGTGAGGACCTCAAGAGACAGTGGGTAGGGAATCACTTTGGAAACATCTAAAGAACGGTATGCACAAATGAGTTGGCTACTGTTTTTGGGTAGCCTATTAATGTGGAAGGATAGTTCCAGGACTCTATCCGTTAGGATGATATTTGTAAAGTACCTAGAATGGGACCTGGTACATAGTGGGCACTTCATTGATGCTTGTTTCCTGCCCTCCCTCCCTCTATCACCTAGGGAGGGGGAGCCTGTCTTACAGGTTAGACTAGAGTCCTGGGCTGGGAGTGCAGAGGAATTTGATCCTAATACTGCCTGAGATACTTATGGGCTTTGAGATCCTGGGCAAGTCACTTAAACTCTGAGTCTTAGTGTTCTAATCCCCTAAAATGGGGATGATAATATTTGCCCTTCCTACCTCACAAGGATATTAGGAGGAAAGCACTATGCAAATCTTAAATGACTATATTAACAGTATAGGTCTAGGGTTTATAACTGAGGCATTTGAGGTATAGAACTACAGTTATCCCTTCCACATTTTACCTTTTCCCATCTCAGTTTTGAGACATCCAGGTTGGCATAAGAAATTAAATGGGAATTTTGGGGAGTTTTGCAGAAGCAGCAGACAGCACTCAAAGGTCCGTGACCAAATACTTAACCCAAATTTCACAATAAGGTATTGTAAACACTCCATAAAAGGAAAAAGAAAAAAAAATCATATATCATCCCTAGTATGATTTTACATGGCTGTTCCAGATCGCAGGGCTGCCACATCCCTAACCCCCATGATATGGAAGGGATAACTGTAAATGTATAATTGAAGATGCATTCAAAGAGCTGGAGTCTTTAAAGTCCAGACCCTGAGGCAAGAAGGAGAGAGGTTTGTGTCTAAAGGGTCCAGAATCCAGCCAAGATTTGGATATCCACCAGTTTATCTATGTCCTTGCTAATTAATGGTGTCTGGAATTGAACACCATACTTTAGATGTGGTCTGACCTAGGGAGACTCTAGCAAGACCATCACCTCCTGGTTCCTGGAGGCTGCACCTCCCCTTAAGCAGCCCAAGATTACATTAGCTTTCTTGTTTTTTGGAATTTAATTTTTTTTTATTTTTAGGCAATTGGGGGTTAAGTGACTTGCCCAGGGTCACACAGCTAGTAAGTGTCAAGTGTTTGTCTGAGGCCGGATTTGAACTCAGGTCCTCCTGACTTCAGGGTAGGTGCTCTATCCAATGTGCCACCTTGCTGCCCCTTGCATTAGCTTTCTTAGCTATCATGTCACACTCTCATATCTCCTCATGGGAAGTAGGGGCTTGGCTACCTTCTCTGCCCAAACATCAGGCTGGTCCAGCAGCAGGTGGTATCATAAGATTGGGATCCTCACTCTCAGCATTCCCTTTGGAAGTCAAGAGATCTGTTGTTTTAGGTGGAGAAAGAAAGATTACAGAATCTGGAATCGGGATCTGAGATCAAATCCTTTCTCTGACATGCCCAGTGTGACCTAGGATGAGATACTTTGTCTCCTTGGGTGTCAGTGTCCTCATCTGTAAAATGGGGACAGATAGTCCCCAAGATGCCGGCAGGTTCTGGATCCATAGTCTTACATCAGGCAGTTGCCTCCATGAAGCTTGGCCTCTTTGCCATCATCTCCCTAAGGAGCATATACTCTTTGAAGCCAGAAAAAAAAAATTTAAATTTTACTATTTTTCCAATAACTCCCCATCACCCCTCCCCCTTTTTTGCCAAAGCACTTAATGTTTGGGTATGAAGTACACCCTTGAGAAGGAAGAAGGAAGGACAGAGGGAGTGAGGGAGACAAAGAAAGGAAAGTAAGAGACACTACGAAGCCTCAAAATTCTTCGAGTAGAGATTCATTTCTTTGGGTTAAATATAAATACTCCTGGGGAGAGTAGCATACTAAAGTTTTATCAGCTTTTAGCTCTGAAGTATTACAAGGCTGAAATAAACTCTGATGATGATGAGATGATGGTGATGTTACTGTTACAACACTTTCATGTGGATAGAGCCCAGGACTTAAGAACTAGAAAGACCTATGATGAAGTCCTGCCGGGTACAGTAATTAGTTGTATGACCCTGGACAGTTCAGTTCACCTCTCCTATCCTCAGTTTCCTCATCTGTAAAATGGGGGTAAATAATAGCATCTTCTTCACAGAATTGTTTTAAGGATCAAACAAGATGAACATTTGTGAAGTGATTTGCAAATCTTAGAGCCCTATGTAAATGCTAGATATTATTATCACATTTGATTCTCATAACACTCCTAAGAAGGAGGTATTTTATAGTAATTTTATTCTGATTTGCAATCCTGACTCCAAGTATACTGGTCTTTGACTGTTCCATGTGGTGTAGGTGTATGTCTGTGATTTTAATCTCTAATGGCTCCAGTGTAAGAAAGTGCTGAGGAATAGGGAGGCGTCCCTACCAGGGATGGCAAGGTTACGGAGGGCACTGAGGGCTGCGTGCTGTACTGTCACATCACCATCGTCCACATGCTTTTCCAGGACATCCAGGAGCTGATGTACCACACCTAGTTGTACCATCTTCACACAGTTGCTGTCTGCAAGGGGAGAGGAGCTAACATTAGTCAGTCAATCCACAAACATTTATGGAGAAGTGGGAAAATTGGAAGACTAATGCATCGTTGGTGGAGCTGTGAAATGATCTAAATATTTTAGAAAGAAATTTGGAACTATGCCCAAAGGACTATAAAAATGTGCATACCCTTTGACCCAGCAATAGCACTTCTAGGGTTGTATCCCAAAGAGATGATACAAATGGGAAAAGGACCCACATATACAAAAATATTTATAGCAGCTCTTTCTGTAGAGGCAAAGAATTGGAAATTGAGGGGATGCCCATCAATTGGGAAATGGCTGAACAGGTTGTGGTATATGTATGTAATGGAATACTATTGTGCTATAAGAAATGAGAAGCAGGCAGACTTCAGAAAAACCTGGAAAGACTTGTATGGACTGATGCTGAGTGAAGTGAGTAGAACCTGGAGAACATTGTACACAGTAACAGCCACATTGTGTGATGACTAACTTTGATGGACTTAGCTCTTCTCAGCAATGCAAGGATCTAAGATATCTCCAAAAGTCTCATGATGGAAAATGGTATCCACATCTAGAGAAAGAACTATGGAGTTGGAATGCAGATCGAAGCATAGTATTTACTCTTTTTTTCCCTCTGGTTTGTTTTGTTTCTTCTTTCATGTGATTCCTCCTATTGGCTCGAATTCTACCTTACAACATGACTAATGTGAAAACATGATTAATAGGAATGTATATGTATAGCCTATTTCAAATTGCACGCTATCTTGGGGAGGGAGGCGGAGAGTGAAGGGGAGAAAATTAAAACTCAAAACCTTATGGAAGTTATTATTGAAAACTAAAAATAAATTTAAAAAATCAATAAACATTTTTAAAGGATCTATTAAGTTCCAGGCCCTATGCCATGGGCTTGAGATACAAAAAGAGGCAAAAGACAGTGTCTGTCCTTGAGGAACTCACAATCGAATGAGGGAGACAATAAGCAAACACATATGTTACAAGCTATGTACAGGATAAGTAGGGATTTATTGAGAGAGGGGAAGCACCAGAATTAAGGGGCTTGGGAAATGTTTCCTTGTAGAAGATGATGATTTGCCTCTTTTTTTTCCTCCCTGTCGGAGGCAACAGTCTAATTCAACAACTGTTTATTAACCTCTCTTTTCCTAGACACAGCATGCACTGCTGAGTGCTGGGAGAGATATGAAAAATGTATAAAACATCTCTACCCTCATGAAGCTTATAGTTTAGTAAGGGGATAATTGTCAGAGTCCCATAACAAGAAGCCAAAGTCCTTTTTACCTTGGACACATTCCATTCTCCTCTTAGGGATGCCAAGATTTTCTTCAAGGAGCATAATTGTGTATTCACTTCTGACTGGTTTCTTACCTCAGTAATTATGTTATAACTATATCCTCATCTCCTACATTTCACCCCCACCCCCTACTTACCTTGGGCCTCAGTTTCTCATCTGTATACTGGGAAGATTGAGTCAGGTTTCTAAGGTCTCAGCTCTGTCATCTTTTACTCCTTACTCTGAGACAGGTACCAAATAATTATTCCTAAAGTGCAGGTCTGCCATGTCACTTTTCTGCTCAAGTGGCATCGCTGGCTAACTGTTGCCTCTAGGATCAAATATGAGCTCCCTGTTTGGCATTTGGTGTAGTGTGTAGCTCTGGGCCACAGAAACTTACTAACTTCTGACCCTGGGCAAGTTACTTAACCTCTGTCCATCTCAGTTACCTTTAAACAGGTTCTGCCCCATGCCTGGGATCCTCTCCCTTCTCATCTCTGCCTCTTGCAAATCCTAGTTTACTCCAAAGCTGAATTCAAGGGCCATCTCCTTCAAAAAGCCATTGGTGCTTTGCCTCAATCACTACTTACTTTAAAAAATATGTCTTATGTATACTAACCTGTGAACATATGTCCTTCTAATAGAATGTATGATCCATGAAAGCAGAGGTTATCTCACCTTTGTATCTGTATTCCTAGTAACTGGCACAGTTCCAGACACTTAGTAGGCCCTCAGTAAATATTTATGAGCTTATGGTCTCTTTTCCTTGGAGTCCATAGGTCAGGAATGTTTGGGCAGCCTTACCATTCCTGGCAAAGTTGGCAACAGCCAGGGCACCCGTCAGTTGCATCTGGATGTTTGGGGACATAAGCCAGCTGCTGATCCTCTGGTAGATGAGGCCAGTTCCATCAGCAAACAGTTTCTGCATAGACTCATCTGCAAAGGGAAGAGATGACAGAAAGAAAGAGAAGTAGGAGCTGTAGCCAGCAGTGTCTGCTCACAGGCTGGAAGGTCCTAGAGTTAGGGAAGGCCTTGGGCTCATGGTCTAAATTCCCAGTCTGAGAGAGGAGTGTCAAGGTGAGGAGTCACAGGGTTTATTTCAAGGGATAGGCCTTTTTTCCCCTTGACCATCACTGTACCTATAAACTGCCTACTGGCATCTTAAATTCCTATCTACTTGCTTCCTTTTTTAAAAAAATCCATCCATTCATTTATATTAATGATATATTATGAACTTATTATTGAACATTAAAACAATTCCTTTGTAACTATTTCTATATAAACTGATAATAATTTCAATGAATAAAATATCACAACAGTTTTTCAAATATTGCATTTACAATAATTTATCAGTATTCTTAGTCTGTCTACTTGCTTCTCATTGACTTTTAAAATTTTTTTAAATTTAATTTAATTTTCAGTTCTATATTTTCTTCCTTACCTTTCTCTCTCTCTCTCTCTCTCTCTCTCTCTCTCTCTCTCTCTCTCTCTCTCTCTCTCTCTCTCTCTCTCTCAACAATATATACAGTCCTACAAAACATTCCCATTGCTTCCTCTCATTTAACAACCCAGAGAAGGTTATCAATATTACATCATGGACCTAATAAAGTATCTTAATTCTCTATTAGGGATTCCTTTACCTTAGATAAGGTAAAAATCTGTTAGACACTAATAGAGGTCTGTGTGTTTGGGAAACACTAATCTGATGGAGAAAGAACTATGACCAGGGAGCCAGGAGATATGGGATTTAATTCTACTTCTGCCCCAAATCTACCCAATGCCTGGGCAGATTGTAGTTCTTCTTTAGGCCCCCATTTTTGCATCTGTCAAATGGGCATATATGCTCTGCCTCCCTCACAGATATATTGGGAAGACCAGAGAGATCATGGATGCTTTCAATAGTAGAAAGCACCATATAAACCCAAGATGAAATTATTACTATTATTAAGATGACAGAGACCCTGGAAGGTGTGATGATTGAAAATTTCTGAGAAACAGAGTCTCTGGATAAATCAATTTTATTAACTACATCTAGAAATAAGTCAAGAAAACAGGCTTATTGCTCCTCTCAGTGAACAAAGAGACTGAGCCTGTGGAAGCTTTGATATTTATAAAGTCTTTTGAAAAGGAGGTGAACCTGAGGGTGGAAATCAACTCTAATTGGTTAACAAGTAATGAAAGAATGAATATTATAACTAGAGGTGAGCTTATTCCAAAGAGTGTCTTAGGGTACATAACACTGAGTGCCCAGTCTTGGTCAAAGAAACTTAATATCCATATCACCAATCTGACAAAAGGGAACCCACATTTTCCCAGACCTGTCAGTAAAAACAATGATCAGGAATCCACCCAGTCCCCTAAACTTAGAATTTCTTTACACTCTTTGATTAGATCTTAGTCTTCCTGACTGGGTAGGTCTTGCCCAAGATTCCCACAGTGGTTGGTTTCTGGATGAAGAAGTGGAAAACTCTTTAGTTCTAATTCAATAATTGAATATTATTAATGAATATATGAAAGAGATAATCATTTATCTCAAAGGCAGTAGAGAAATAGCAAAAGTGGAAGAGCCATTGTGTTGACTGATGTGAGACAGTGAATCTGATGTAGCTAAGAAATCAGCATCTTCCCTCCAGGGTGAAGGGAATTGGAATGAAAGCCTCTGAGTGTGGGCATAGGTTTGGAATATTGGGGGCTAAGGGCAAAAGATATTACAGAGTCAGAATGTCAAAGCTGAAGGGGTTTTGGGGGTCATTTAGTCTACTCTTATCCAATCTCCCCATTTTAAATTGAGGAAGCCTAAACTCAGAGACATAAAGAGACTTGCCCAAGGTCACCTCGTAAATCAACGGATGAAGTCAGGACTCTTAATCCTCACGGCTCCTTCCATCACACTACTTTTTAAAAATAATATTTTATTTTTTCGATTACATATAAAGACAATTTTAAACTTTTGCTTTTTATAAAATTTTGAGTTCCAAATTTTCTTCTTCTCTCCCTTCACTCACCCCTCCCTAAGATGGAAAGCAATTTGATATATGTTATATATATGCAATCATGCAAAATCTATTTCTAAATTAGTCAGGTTGTATCCCACTACTTTTTGTCCACTTTCTTTAGACATTGGATTCTTTGCTTTAGTAGGCAGACAATAAATAGCTAACTGGTTTAGCAAGATAAATGAGGGAAGGTTTTTTGCCAAGGGGCTGTAGAGACAAGCCTGTAAGTGGTTTATCACTTGCTGTAGCTACCTGTCTGTTCCAGGTTCGTTGGTGACCTTATCCAGGCCTTATCGAGCTGAGTAGACTCCCCATTCTAGAACAGTCTTACAGAAGATAAGATCCAAGGATAATGAACAATTTTTCTCCTCCCCATGGCATGGGTTTGAACACAGCAAATCTTGAACCATCCTAGGACAATATTAGTCAGACTTATCCTCATTTTTCCCGGCTGGGAGAAAATCAGGGCTTAAGGAAGTGTTGGAGCTATTCAAGGTTTCCTTTGGCAAAACTGTGAAATCATGGAAGTTTTTGTTCCATTCCTCCACCTTCACCTTTCTTGGAATTCTCCCAGACCCCAGTCTCTTCTGTTAGGGAAGTAAGGGATTTAATAAGTTTGTTCACATTGAACTATAAGGACTTAATTTTTTTTTTTTGAGGGAGGGAGCCTGGAGAAGGGCATGGACCATGTAGACTGTATTATTGAACCCAAAGGAATGAATCTCATGCTTCACCCTGAGTAGGAAGACAATGAGAAAGGGGAAGTGGAGGTCTTTTGGAAGCTGTCCCTGCCTAAAGCAGCTAGCTTGGGT